CGCTAAAGACTACTGTTTCTTATTGTACGTGCTTTGAGGAACAACCGATTCCAGAGAAACTGTATTGTTGGCTTATGAAGGAACAAGCCTCGTGCGCTTTTTTTATTTTACAGATGTAGGCCCTGTATGAACATGCCGTTCGTACTTGAATCTATCGCCCCTACAGGCTGTAAGCATTCATCTATACTTTAAAGGCCGTTGCAACACATTTAAAAGTTACCTTCAATTTATTTCATTAAAGCCGGTAATTGGCTCCTGCATAGACCAGCCGAAAGATTTTTTGAATACTTCAAGTATATGGCGGAGTTGCAGATATTTGTTGCTCGTGGTTGTTGTTTTCTCTTTTCTTGCGTTTCGACAAACCTGTAGAAAGCTCTGCAGGAAAGCTGCTACATTGGAAAAAGGATGTTTCACGTAGGCGCGGCTTCGCTTTAGCATGATCGCGAGTGCCCTCGTGCGCACGTGCAGGCACCCCACGGCGGCCTTGGTAACTATGCAGGCTATGGCATGGCCTCCATGATGGGGGGCGTATGGTGGGTTTCTCTCCGGCTGTTCCAATCTTAGAGTTGAAAGGCAGACTGTACATTAACTCTATGGTCCTATTCGCACTTTGAGAGCTTTTTAAGGAGGTGGGCATAGCCCGTTTTTTTTCTACGCACTGCGGAGCTGTTTCGTATGGCCCAAAAAGCTGACGCGCTGTTGGGTAAGACTGCGTGTGTGTCGACAAAAATTGGTTTTGCGCTTTTATATAACTTCGAGGTAATTCAGAAATGTTTGGCCAAGTATATGAGAGGCAAGGTCGATGCTTGGGCATAGATATTATCTAATCGGCTTTTTTCGTTGAGGTTTGTGGCGCTCACATTAGAGCACTTAGAGTTTCGATGCCTCTGCAAGGTCTCCGGTTGTGCTGAAAACTTGTTTTACTTCAAAGTTTGCATGATTTGTAGTATGTAGGGTGCTGGTGAAGAAAAAAATTACAGCCCGGTGAACAAGCAAAGTAAGAAGAATGCCGCGTTCTTCGCTCACAGGTTACACTCGATTAAAAGTTTTGCCTTTTCTTTCCTTTCATGAAAGTCTCGCTGCTTTTCATTGTCACGCCACTTGAAGAATGCTCCCGTCGAGCTGCAGGTGCAGGATACAAGAAATAGGGTGCGGGCGGTCACCATGAGTCTATACAATGTCTAGACTGAACGTCGCCGGTTCTGCGATGACCACGGACTGGTTAGAGACAGCTTTCAGTCACTTAGGACCACCCATTCGCACTTTGAGTTTTACGGTGTACTGTGGATATGTTGGGCGATGTAAGAACGAACATCGAAATGTTTTGATTGTTCGAGAAGTTCATAACACGGGTTCCGAGCCTGTTGTAGTCATTATAAAACACTGCAGCGTTACATAGCACTCAATTAGCACTCTTCATATCTTCAGTAGCCTACATCAACAAATACCTAGTTTTTATTAGAAAGATGCCGTTGTGCTACATGTGCGACCCTCTCTTTGGATGCAGTCTAGAGTTCAGTAAATGAACACAACATTTACGTTTTCATTGTGCTACTGAAACATAATCGAAATTAAGATTCCAAGAAAGGAGACGGTGATAGCAAAAGCATTTTTACTGCGAAAGACGTGGTGAGTGATTGTAGGTCGGCTAATTGAAGCCTTTTACAATATTGCGGCAAAATTTCTTCTGACGTACCATATTTGATTTACATGGTCAGGACACTCAGTTAACTAAGACGTATTTACGCTTCGGTGGACCACGTTGTAAATTTTCGTCCGCAGCATAATAGTAAAACTATCATCCAGAGTATGAGAGCATTGCGATTCATTGACAATAATTAGCCTAGTTTTTCCCCATACAAGTCTCCGAATGGAGGGATGCTGGTATGCCTCTATATTTCTCAAATTGAGGCATTAAACATAAAAAATAACGGACAATATTAATAAACAATGTAGTGCTGCTACAGACGATTTTATACCTCCTTCAAATTCATCATCATCATCATTATCATCATCATCATCATCATCATCATCAGCCTGACCATACTCATCAACCCGGTCCTGTGCTTGCTGCTGCCAATTCATACCCGCAAACTTATGAATCTCATCTGCCTACCTAACCTTCAGTCTCCCCCTAACCCGCTTGCCTTCTCTGGGAATCCAGTTAGTTATTTTTACATTACTTTTGTTTTCTGCAGATAAATTTTAAGACCCACCTTTCTGCTCTCCTTATGTAACTCCGTAATCATGAGTTGCAATTCGTCCCCTGAGTTACTCAGCAATGGAATGTCATCAGCGAAGCGCAAGTTAGTAAGGTACTCTCGAATAACTCTTATCCCTAACTGTTCCCATTCTAGGCTTCTCAAAACCTCCTGTAAGCATGCGGTAAATAGCATTGGGGATATTGTGTCCCCTTGCCTTACACCCTTATTGATTGGTATTCTGTTGCTTTCTTTATGAAGCACTATGGTAGCAGTTGATCCCCTGTAGATTTCTTCCAGGATGTTTATATATACTTCATCGACGCCCTGATTCCGCAGTGTCTGCATGACGGCTGATATTTCTACTGAATCAAACGCCTTCTCGTAATCTATGCAGGCTATGTATAGTGGTTGGTTATATTTTGAGCATTTCTCTATTAACTGATTGATAGTATGAATGTGGTCGATTGTTGAGTAGCCTGTTCGAAATCCTGCTTGTTCCTTTCGTTGATTGAATTCTAATGTTGTCTCAATTTTGTTAGCTATTATTTTTGCAGATAGCTTGTATACTACAGAGAGAAAACTAATCAGCCTGTAATTCTTCAAGTCCTTGTCATCTCCTTCCTTATGTATTAAGATGATGTTAGCGTTCTTCCAAGACTCTGGTACTTTTCCCGTCAGGAGACACCTCGTATACAGGGTGGCTAGTTTTTCTGACACAATCTGTTCTCCATCTTTCAGCAGATCTGATGTTACCTGATCATCACCAGCAGCTTTGCCTCTTTGCATGCTCTCCAAAACTTTTCTGACTTCTTCTATCATTACTGGTGGCCGGTACGGAAGTATAGTGTCCAGTGGGTGGGAAGGTTCGCGGCCGTTTCACAGAAAGAACGGGGGAAAACGGGTAGTCGCCTGCGTCGCCTTGTTATAAGCGAAGTTAACAAAAGGTCCCAGTAACAAAAGCGTCCCAGTTAGTGTGGTTGGAGGAGGTGTACATCCACAGCATGTCGCCAAGTGTGCGGTTGAACGGCTCAGTGAGACCGTTTGTCTGTGGATGGTATGCGGTAGATTTCCGGTGGATGATAACGCATTCATTGAGAATAGCTTGGATGACCTCCGACAGGAACACTCGACCCCTATCACTGAGTAATTCCCGTGGAGCACCAAGGCGGAGAATGAAGCTGCGCAGAATGAAGAGTGCAACTTCGTGGGCGGTCGCTGCCGGTAGGGCTGCAGTCTCAGCGTAGCGTGTCAGATGATCGACGCCGACAATAATCTACTGGTTTCCAGAGCCTCCACATGGGAGGGGGCCTTAGAGGTTGACACCCACGTGGTCGAATGGGCGAGCCGGGCCGGAGAGCGGCTGTAACATGGGAGGTGTATTGTTTTTATGGCAAGTGGTGCAAGACTGAACGTATTTCTGCACAAAGTGATACATTCCTCACCAGTAATCTTATTGACGCAGACTTTCGTAGGTTTTCAGGACACCTGTGTGAGCACCTTTGAATTACCTATCAGCAAAATGCAGCAGTTGCCATGCTTTTCTCCGTAAGTGAGACCAAAGTAAATGTAGTAACAGAAGTAAATACTTTTCTTCAGTTCATCCAGAAGACTGTAGCGGTTATTCTGGCTCGTTCGCGAAAAAAAAAAACTATGCGCGCGCTGCCACCCATGCGCTCTGCTGTATGCCACGGTCTCTGCCACCACCGGAATACGCGCCATTCTCACGGTAGCCTTGTGCGCAAGGCAATACTCGTTCATTTTGCTGGGGATCATGACGACTGGGACGGCCAGAGAGAACACGCCGTGCACCCGCAATTTCGGAGAACATTGCCATGATGTTCAAATGTGAGCCAATGACCATGAATATGGATCTGTACAGGGCGTGGTCATTTGGGCATATGTTACCATTTGTTGATATAACAGAGAACAATTTCTAGCTTTAAAAAATTTGTAAATTCTAGAATGCGTGTGCGCCATAATAATTAGGTAACACGTTCTCGGGAGCCTCGACTACTGATCGGGCGCGTTTTGTGACCATGTTGAGAAAGTTTGGCAGTGCCTTTTTCAGAAAGTCTTGTTGTTCGGTGCATTCGAATAATTAGCAAGCCAGCAAACAAGCGTTTCAGTTAGAAACGAAACAAAGGAATCGGTTGGGTGCTAAGATGTCTTAGCACCCGACCTGTTGTTTTTTTTTGTGTGTGAGATCTTCTGAGTCCATGTGAGTTATTGTATATCCAACAAAAAATAATAATCCTTTTCTCTTGTTTGCGCTCTAATGAATCAGCTATCTGGATCACGCCGTTTTTTGTCTGTTACGATGAGTCGTACAGTCTTTTTCTTTTAGATAATTACAGCTACCTATAGCCATTTGATCGCAAAAAGCGAATCAATGTCACCCCCTCTGTTATTGTGTAAGCACAGAAATGCTAAAATATATAATGTGGGCTGAGCAGCACTTTTCTGCCTGAATGATTAATGTCAGTGCATTGCGTGAGTTTAGCCGGGCTCAGGATACCAGCCAAAAAGAGCACCTCACTGTCGTTATTCGTCAACTTCACCTTGCATTTCACTCAGGATGACATTTAAGCCATACATTGACCGTAGCATTGTGCCTACTGTTAGAGGAGCATATTGTTACAATAAAACGAAGGAGGTGCCATTTATCACACTTTGAGTGCCATTCTATATTTCTGAGAAGCCTCGCAATGACAAAAACATCATGAAATATGTACACACTTGTTCGTCTCAGGTGCATATATACGGTGTGGTGCTTGCGCAAACGAAGCTGCCATTCCAGGCTCTCAAGGCATCTCACATTCAACAAACACAACATGATCCTCATATTTATTTCGTTGTTGCAGCTTATGATGTGTTGCTCTGTCGGTGAGTTACTGCATGTGTAGGTTGTTGAAAGTTAGCTCCATTCGGCTCGTAAACCGTATGTGTCAATGTGTCTACGTATTTTTTTCGGTAATGTAGGCACATGAGAATTACGATGACGACACAGTTCTGTATCCGTATATCTTTCCGCATTTCAATATCATTTGTGAGCGACGCTTTACAAAAGTTGCGAATATGTGTGCGCCAACACTATGTCCGTAATAATTTGCCTAACACATTCTTTTCACTCACCAGTGTTTTGTTTTTAGTATTTTTCTTACTTTTCTCATCAATCACAATAATCTCAAATACTCGGTGTTATGCTGTTTATAGATATTGTTTTCAACAATAATTATATCAGGTGTTTTCCGAGCTAAACGCACACGATGATAATTGTCGTTCCGTAACAAAGACCTCCAAAACCTATAGCCATCTGGAGTGTTTCAGCGTGTACGAGCACAACAAAGTACATAGGCCTCTATAGCATCTCGCATCTGGGTTCGAAATCGCGACTTTCGGATCAGTAGCAAAACACCGTTACCACTATACCGCCACGCAGCAAGGGTGAAGCAATGAATGCGTATGTCAGGAACTGAGGATGAGACACGACTGTGAAACATCTAGTTTTTGTGACACGAAAGTGGTATATACCAGGGTTCACCGAAGCTCTATTGACGTAATTCTGTCACGAATATGACGCCGCAAAATATACATTTTAGGTGAAGGGAAAAAAATTGGCGTGATAAATTATTTCTTTAGGAGTCGAACCTACGACCTCTCGGTCAGCATGGCATGGCACCATACGACTAGGCCGTATACAATACGTTCTCCATAGGTTTAACGGCAAGCTATTTTTATACGCTTTTAGTATTGGTGCTACTGGGAGCTCGCTGTTGTTTGCGCGTTTGCGTCATGACTAGCGACATAGCGTGACAGGCACGATAAAGCGCTTTAACGGTCATCTCTCTGCGCGTTGCGATGAGTGGGTGCTTCCTATGTCGTTATCAGGGCTGTTTGTACATCTTGTTCTGGCGTTCAAGTTCTCAGATTATGAAGGTCACTTCACTCGCTGCAGCGTTCGTGTTTGCGAAGGCGGCACACTACTCGGACACAAATAACTAACTGTCGCAGCATCAAGTTTGTTGAGGACGGGCCCCTTGCCACCCCTACCTTTGCTTCCGGACTGCTGTTCGTGCTGATGACGACCGTGCCACTGCTCATTTAATCTTTTTCTCTTCTTTTCACTTTTCTCCTTTTTCCTTCCCCGCAGGCAATGTGCCGTGCTCCCGACTGGGTTGCAGAAATTAGGTGCCTTTTCTCATCCTTTAACCACTACCACCACCAAGTTCGTGCTCGCTCATGCGCATGCAGGTTAATGGTCGACATTTTCGGGGTCCTCCACTACGGCGTCTCCAATAATCTTATCGCCATTTCAGGACGTTAAACCCCATAAATTACTGTCAGTTTTACGTACGCACTCGTTTTGTGCGTCCTGGTTTGCATGTAAGCAGCCCTTTTTAAGCGTCCAGTTGCGACGGTTGTTCGCGCTTCTCCTGTGAATGTTCGTTTAGTGTGAACTCTCAGCTTGAGGAGTGATCTGCAAGTTTCGAGCTGTTACTATAGCATTCATTGCTCTGCCCCTGTGACGAATTAATTCTCAATAAACACTCAATGGTTTTGGTCAAGATGCACTTTCGTGTTTTAGGGATCGCTATGGTAGAGGACACAGCCATATTTAGGAAGGAGGGGGGGGGGGGTGGTGTTAAACTATACCTTACGTGTGTTCTGGCCTGCGTCCTTTAGTGGGAATGTGTATATACACAGTGAAAAATGGGGTGGTTGGTAGAACCCAGAATTTGGTGCACGACGAAAGGCTATATAGCCCCTCACACTTTCAAAAACCGCGGCCGCTGCTGCGTGCGAAGTGACCTTACAGGCGGTAGTGTACGTTTCTAACGTTCTAAAACATTCCCGTGATCCACGATATGTGAATACAGAAATGATCATTGCTCTGTAAAAATAGGAATATTTCGTAATAAAACAGCGACACAGGAACATATGGAAAAAGTGCAAATTGAAAAGCGATAGTGAAAAGCGGGAAACATTGATGATCAATGGTAAGAGCATAAATTGTGTAGTCGTCGTAATAATTACCCATATGATTTGTTTTTGTTCATTCTAGTTTCGTTCGAAATTTCAAAGGAATATTACGTATATCCCCGCATATTGCAAGAACGCTCTGAAGCAAGAAATTTGGTTCTAAAACTTAGCGATAAGATAACTCTGAACCTTGAAAGAAGCACAGTCTTGGCCGACAACATCCACTTCGTTACAAGCACTAAGGACTTCCACGAAGTAGAAATGGTAAGTAGGTTAAGTCTGATGATTCTGGTACCATCTAAAAATAATTATTTTAAACTTTACAGTCCCAGCCAACAAAGGTACATTCATTGCACAATCCTATCTGCTCCGCGTTTTGCCTTCAAGGGTAGTATGCACTAACTTGCTATCATTGTGTAATTCATTCAATGTGAATACAGGAGGACAGGGAGAAAGAAAGGACACATGGCAGTGTTTCACCACTAATTTCGGAGAAGGAGACATTTGTCACGGGCCTTTTTTAGGAAGTGCAGCTTAGGTGTCGCTCTTACAAATAATTGTGCCAGTGCAGAAATGACGTCGTGAGGATTACGTTCGCACAATATGTAATTGTAACGAAGCTCTACAGCTCCTAGCTTTGTTTTCATTGTTGTAATAATGAATACGGGAGGTTGTTTTTGTTGTCGCGGCAACGGCCTTTCCGACGACAGCAACAAATCACGAAAAGCTAAAAACGTTATCTAGTTAAGCAAACTGTACACAATAGCCCTACAATCGAACACCATATGAGCCTCAGTAGTCGATTGCTCCTTCTAATAGGTAAAATAATTTCATACTGTCACATCGTCGGGACATTCATGAAGACAGTAAATATGCATGTTGAGTAGTAAACTTTGTAGTTGTGTGAAAGTGTCTCCAAAAATTCAAAAATAAAATACTAGCTACGTACATTCCACACTGATAGCAGCGTGAACATTTATCAGGCATCGAGTAATCTGATGTGCGGTAATCTGATGTGTTTAGTAAGCTATCCTATAAACTTGACTATTCGAGTTCAGCGCGTAGTCTTAACAGAAGAATTTTGAACAATAGTGAAGTTTAAGTAATGTGATGCCATAGACTGCGAGAATTGCTCGCTGTCTTTACATATGTACCCTGCACACATGAAAATTAAGCACTAAACAAACGTAGCTATAGCTACGCAAGCAGCTGAGTCCAAGTTCAAATAAGCGGAATTGGTTCACTCGAGCATAAGTCCAGCGAAAGTTCAAACAGCTCAAACTAGTTAGCTTGTAGACTACCACACTCAGAAATATAGTAAGGCTCACCGTACGAAAAAAAAACATACTGTGAGAAAAAAGTAAAAGTGTCATCAAACGCATAATCATAACACGTGCAGAAGGGTCAAAAGTTCTGAAGCCACGCTGCCTTAGAAATACATGTGACAGTGGCCCAGGAACTTTTGACTCCCCCCCCCCCCTTTCATTTGCTTTCAGTATATAGAGGATGGCAGCAACTTCGTGTACGTTAATAATTCCGTTTTATGTTAAATTTTTTGGGGAAATTCCTCATGGCGACACGTAATTTTTTTAAGACTTGCTCTTGGACATAGATCCAATATTTATTTTTACAGTTGTCTTCTGTCTAAAAAGAAGTTTGCTCGTATCACCTCTCGTGGTGAATCATTTTTCTCACATTCATGAAGTAAATGGCGAATGATCTTCAGGCGACATGCGAGGTACATGCGAGAAATGACACAACAAACAGCACTATAAGAAGAGCGTCAAGAAGTCCACGCTTCACAACAAGCTACCAGGAGTACGGAAACAGAGACCCACAGACGCCACGTCAGGGTAATGGCATAAAATAATTGTGTTCGGACTAACGTCCAATACCTAATTAGAAATTTCTGACTCCTGGTTGCTGAGAAAACAAGAAATACTTACTAGTAGTTCTGTATTTTGGCGTGCACGTGAATTTAAATGCAGGGGCGTTTCACTAATGTTTCAGTGTGGTCGTGTTGGTCGCAGATTGAACCCACGCTTTTACGAAGAGCCCTACACCGCATGTACAAAGCCAACACTTCAAATGCTTCAACACTTCAGCATTTCGCTTCAAAAATGGGCCACCAAAGACATTGCGAAACTATAGTTAAACAGAATATCTTGCTTTTTTATGAACTCAGAGTGGTCTACATGCTTCTCAAAAGTCTATTGTCTTCTAACAGCTGCTTGTGCATTGCGTGACATGCGAGATCAGCTGAATTTCAGTTCCATAAGGTGGAAACCTACCCTTGTACCTACTATCTTTAGCACTGTGCTGTTTGTTAAAGAACCAGCGCTACTGAAGCAAGGTCATCATTTTGTACTGATCAACAATTCGGAAAAACTGTTAATGAGGGCTATACAAGAATAGTAGCGCTGAATGAAGTGGTGACTGAACTAAAGGTTAATAGAGCGTGATTTACAGTTTCAACTACATAGTAAGGCCAACATTGTCTATTTTTTTGCTAAAACCTCTTTCTGTTCCTGCCTCCGAGTCACGGTAGAAACTTCATTGCAGCGTCATCAAATAGGATCTATTGTATAATGCACAACATAATTGTCTGGAGCTTTTTTGAACCGACTTTACTGCTTATATGAAATCCCTGCAGCCGTTTAGATGCAAAACCTGAAATTGCAAAGCTACAATAAAGTGCATAACATATACAGATGGCAAAGTTTTTGCAAGATAAAAACACCAGGCCTGCGCTGAACGCCCAGCACAGTCGCAGCGAAAGCTGTAAGAGTGGCTCTTTAGAGCCTGTAGCATGGTAGATGCTACAAGCTTTGTGCCGGATTCCCACTACGCCATAAATAATCAAAATTTGTGTATTGGTCAGCGTGCTATCTTTTGTAATTCTTTGACGAAGCGTGGTATTCGCTGCGCACTTGTTCGGAATTCTGTGAATTTGTTCACGAAGTGCCTGACAACGATGAATTATGCCTGAAATGAATATGAACCGCAATTATTAGGTAATAAATAACACGTTTTCCAATGGGTTGAAGCATCGGATGACCCACTCGTTGTGCACTTCGCATTGTGTGACGCCTGGCTGTTCTTTTGATGTTGTAAATCGCTTTTATACTCATATATACGCAATTGCTTTCCCGACATCAAGCGTACCTAAGGCCAGTTTAGAAACAACCTCCAAGCACCGGCGTGGCTCAGTGGCAGTATAATTGGCTGGCACGCAGAAGACCCAAGTCAGAATTCTATTGTGTCCTAGGTGTTTTTTTTTATTTACTGAGTTCGTTCGTTTTTTTTTTCGATACTGGTTACGGACGCTGGTGATGGCGGTGGCAGTGGACAACTACGGCACCGCCTGTGACCCGTGTTTTGACCTCGTAACAGTTCTCGCTGTAATAATTTAGTTTGTGCTGAAGAGATACCATTCCTTGCAAAAACAAAATCTTATATAGAATTGTTGTAGGGGTAAAAGTGTTTACCTCACTAGAAAGTGAAGCTTACCTTATAACCTAAAACAGTTAGAAAGGAGATGATAACCATTGTTTATATTGCCACAAGGCAGTAGTGGGATTGGGGCATAAAGCGGTAGAGGGTCTCTGCTTGAAATAAAAGACTACGAGGTGGATAGAGAATGGTCCCAGCCCACCAGTGTGTCAGGCTTTGCCATTGCATGTAAACATCGTAAATATCCGCAAATATACGTTTCCTTGTAAGAATAATATAGAAAAATAGAAAGAGAGAAGTTTCTTACGGCTTCATCTTTGTGAAAATATAAACAGTAGAAAAAAAGGCACAGTCTAACAACGGGGCTTGTTGAATTTGCATAAGGAACCTCATATAACCTCCAGCTAATGGAAGTACCTCTAAGAACTACGCAGGAAACCGGTAAATTACGTCGTGAAAAAAAATACATGCTCATAATAAAACGTTGTGAGGCCACAAGTGTTGCGGTATGTCGATTCCATCTTTAGAAAAAACGCAAGCCAGGTAACAGTAAGTAGTAATAAAAAATGCGTGCTGACTCAAAACATTTGAATTTTAAGAAAAAAAAACATGTATTTTTTAGGCAATTTAGACGCGTGCACTTCAAAAAATTACAGCATATCTTTGCAGTGAATGATAATGAGTGGGGCGAAGCACTGCTGGGTTTCATCGATAAACTGTAAACTATCTGTGGATATCACCCACTACATCATCTAAGACATGACACACACTGTATATATTCATAAAAGAAATTTTATTATTCATAAATGGTAGCTATACGTCACTTCCACTTCCCCCTTCAATATGAGGGTGTTATGGTGGGAGAAGTAGTGGATCGGTGATGCGGCATAGTGGCATGTTAGCAAGGACAAAGTAGGTGCAGTTTGCAAAGGTGGAACTATAGGCGGTCACGTACAAACAAGAAATGGACGCAGTGGGACAATCCTTGGTTCATTAACGCGCACCTGGATACAAATACAAGCCCATCTTACAGTTCATACTGCCTACTTTTCAGCAGTATTTGCTTTATGGTCAGTGAAGAGGTGGATCAGTGGCGGGGTGCAGTGGGATATTTACAAGGACGAAGTAGTGCTCAGTTGACAAAGGTGGAACTATTGGCGGTCACGCACATACTTACAAGGGATGGACAGACCCGCGACTTTAGGAGCTTTGCCCCTAAAACACTGGGAAAAATCGACCGACTGCGCAGAAAGCCTGGTACTCATTTTAGAGAACACATTTGGTACTTGAACTTCTACGTTGTGTCTTCACTTTAAATATCTATCTTCAAATATCTTCATATATCTACCTGTTTATTTTCAATGCATTCTTGGTAATTGCGGAAGCATTTCTAAGCCCTTCTCTCCAGGCAGCTTAAAGGTAGCTATCACATTCATTACTTTGCTGTCCCCAAAAAGGACACATCAACTTACCTAAAAGCTTTGTAAAAGTCTCTATACGTTTTTTTTCCAATTTAACCCAGTTGCTAGCCTTCGCTATATTGTACTACTTCTTTTGTGGGTCAAGTACTGCAACGTGGTTTAACCGAATTTATTGTCCCTTTGTATATAACCTGTACAGAGGAAATGTATTTGGCAATTATCCTCATATCAGCTTCAAAAATCTAGCAGTCGAATAACACATCATTTTTTATTTTTCTATACCTATTGTGCTGCAGGTAGATACGTCTGATATTCAGGAGAGTATATACCACGACACGCACTACCAGTCCTCAGTGGCAGTTCGACAGAAAGACGGCAACGTGGAAGTCGTAAGTCAACGCGCAATTTTGCTGTATATGTAAATTAAAAAAACTGCACTGTTTAGGCACAAGGTGAAGAAATTAACGCAATAGCCACACATCGGGCTTCATACAACGCAATGTTAAGAGATTTACGAACCACACGACATGTAGTGAGCATGGTCGATTGTGCTTGACTTGACAATAATGCAGTTACCCCAATATATAAACAAGTGTTGTTGTGAATAGCTGACTGCGTGATGTCCGACGTGAGGCAAAGTGTAATTTTGGCATCGTGAAACGTGACAAGCCACTGGTCTTTACGTTGAAGTACATTAACTTTGAATCTCCAGTGACTATCACCGGCCAATCCAGTAGGGAGACCGCAAGGAAATTGTGCAACAAAGAGTTCGTGACGTCAGTTTACAAGGTTCCTGGTGAGATGTACATTGTTGCGACGATGAAGCTTTGGAAGGTTTTAACGGTGCAAGTGTCACCACAACTCATTTGGCGCAGCGTTCGAGTTAGTCTGTATAAAATGATAGTAGCGATGCGCATTTCGATAGGTACCAAATTCACGGGCATAGCAAGAATAGTCCTGGATTTAATGAAAGCAATTTTTCCTGTTGCTTCAGAATGAAAGTGAAGCCAGGGACATTTTGGGATGGCCCTTTCATCCTATTGCACTTGCTTCAGTGAACACACTCTTCCTTTCATGAAGCCATCGGATACGTCAATGTTTAGCGAAAGCACGTATGGCTTGTCCAAACGAAGTTCATTCTTTGTTCAAGAATGTTGCTATGAGGTCTGTTGACAGTAAGCAAGTAGTAAATGTTGTATTTACGTAGTTCGCTCTTGGTGAGATGGACAGTATGAACGGCGTGGCCTAGTTGGTTTATGTAGCCCTCGGAGCAGCGTGCTTTCGCTGGTTCAAATCTGCGGTGGGCGCCATGGAATTCCTTTATCGGGATTTATTTTTCTTTGTGCTTTTTATATGGGTCATTCCATATCAAGTGTACGCAGTTATATGGGAGTGGGAGAAGTAGTTATAACGGCGTATATATTTCGTAAACAAAAAATGTTGAGTTGCCTGGACGGCTCTTCAAACTTTGGCACTCAAGTGAAACTCTGTCACGCTAACTTTTTTTTATTACTGGTTTGAGCAATTCATACGAAACACTTTTTCCTTTAATCTCAAGGCACTACTGATTCATGACTATGATAGGTATTCGACTGCATGTCAATTTTCTTTAGTTTTTCCCTTGGAAAAATTATCAATATGCAGCACGTTTACCATTTGTTACATAAAACACAAATTTTTTCGCCAGTAATGTTTTGATAACTTCTCCTTTTTGTGTGCCTATAATGAATGATTAAAACACTTTAAAACTAATGAAGAAAAAACATTGCCAAAGAAAAAAACTGTGGAAAAGTTAGGAATAAGAGCATTTGGACGCATTTTGACTCATATGGTTGCTTAATATTCGCAACGTAGCAATGAAAGTAGAAATACAACTATTATATTGTTGTGTAGCCTAATTTGTCAGTAATTTAAGCAGAAAGTATCACATGAGTAAATTTATTTTTCAGATAGAAAAAAAGTTTTCCAACTGAACAACCACAAGGAAGTATGAAGCCTGCCTTTGTTACACTTCCACTGCATGGTACGTCAAAATAAGGCTCCAGTAGGGGCTTATCGACAGCGAATAATCCTTGTAATAGAACTCCATGCCAATGAATTTATTGATACTGCTGTATTGATTGTCAAAAAAGGAGCAGTAGCACTTTATTTACGGAACAGTATATTCCCCTTAGGATCATCAAAGGGCAGTTTATATTAAACCTCTTTTCAGTCCCAACGGCACAATTATAATGCAGTCGATCGCCTGCAATACAGTATTGAGGCGTTGAGTTTGGCTTCTTATAATTAATGTAAATGGTACTAATCATAAATAATGATATAGTTGAAGTATTTTCTACTAAGCTGTTTTTATGATTTTCTGGGTATTAACCCATGCGTGATCCCTTACCACTGGTGTGCATGATGAAATGGTGTATTCAGGTGTACAAGTTGGAGAAAATTGAATATCGTGGCCAAAATTGACATAAATTGGCCATTTTTAGTAGTCGTTTAAACAATTACTTCATCTTTATATTGACCCTAGGGCGTTCAAAACGTTATAACACGTCACTATTTTTGGACGGGTTTTAGATTAACGCATTTTCAGCACCTTGGCACCACAAAGAAAGAGATAAATGAAAATCGTAAAATCCCTCCGTAAATAGTGAATCAAGTATAATTTACGGGCACGACATCGAATCATCTCTAACGTGGTTCGGATGCATCATTTTATCATGCACACCAGTGGTAAGCGCTCACGCATAAGTCTATATACCTGAAACATTCTAATACAGCTTAGAGAAATTATACATTACAAAATTCGGTAATATTACTAAAACCATTTGTAATAATTGCCAGAAACCAAACACGACGCCTCAATGCTGTATTACAGGTCATCGACTGCATTATACTTCTGCCACTTGGGACTAAGAAGCGGTTCAATATAATACCACCTTGATGGTTCAAAGGGTAAAATACTGTTTTGTACAAAAAGCACTGCTACCCCTTTTTGACATTCTATACTTCAGTATTATTAAAAGAAGTGGCAAGGAGTTGCATGACACGCATTATTCGCTGCCGAAGAGCCCCCGCTGGAACCTCGCGCGGGTGGGTCAAGGTGAAGCAAAGGCAGCCTTCGTTAAACTTCGTCGTTGTTCAGTTTGAGAATTTTTTTCTTCCTTTAGACAAAGTGTACTCTTTTGAAACCTTCTGTTTATCTTACTGACAAGCTATACTATGTAACAATATAAAATCCATATTTTTACTGTGAACGCTACACTGCCAAAATTGAGCCGAAATATGAGTCAAAATTCTGTTTTTTCCAAGTTTACCACAATAATGTGGCAATAATAACATTTTGTTTGCTCCGGAAGTATTTTTATTCATTTGTGCCTTTTGTTACCTCATGAGAATTGCTATTTTCTTATGTCTCAAGAAAAACACTTTTGCCAGTTTCAATAGTACAACGGCGTGCATTTCAGCATATACAGTTAGGCACAATAAAATGTTCTTTCCAAAAAAATATATGTTGTGCAAAAACAGAAATATTTTAAACTAATAAATAGTTGAAGAAGTGTGTTGTTGTTTTTTGCCAGCTGGTAAACAGTGCAATAAAGAACTGTATTTTTTACAAAATTCTCACAACAAAGAACATTCAGAGTGTACAGTTTAAAGATAAATTACGTAAGAACAGTATAAAAAGGATAAATGTTGTACAAAATCTCCCTACTCACACAGACAAAGGAAATCGGAAGCGAAGTTATGCGTCGTTCCTCGGGCCAGGTGGTGAAGCGTTGGTTGGTTTTTCTTGATACACGAGTGAACTGCTAGCCTATATTTATTACTTTAATTTTTACGATAACAACCAGCAGGTGTTTCAATAAAGATGGGTTCCCGTGAAGTGAATATTCCTTCTATAAATCAGATGTCCAACGAGCTTTGCTGTTTTGTCTAACGTCACCATTTTCCAACAGCCACGTTTCTTCGCCTTAGTTGTCTTTCACACATATGCATACAAGCTTAATACTTTGCATTTTTGCACATCATGGTAAACAAAGAAAAATATCGTGCGTGGTCCTAAAACGTTTCGCACTGCTCCGTAGTCAGGACTGAGATGTGCTGCGGGGACCTTCCTGTCGTGACGATAAGCTCTGCAGCACACCACACCCCACTGGCGTGTCAGCCTCGCAAGTAAACGGAGTACTCAGCTAATAAATTGTACACAAAAGTCAGCAGCGACGCATTTACGGCGAAGAATAAAATTTGAAACGGTCAACAAAAAGAAATTCATGAACGCCTATGGATGTCTCCCGCTGGGCCAAAACATCGCTGCTATAAAACTTGTAGCTCAGGTGCTGTCATCCTGGGACTCTAAGCTCGTTTTCACTGGCTCTAAATGCGGTTAAAAGGCAGTCTTAGGCAGCCCATGATTTTTGCAGCACAGGTGCTCACCTATACGCGCTTGACGATGACGCCCTAGAATTGACTAGTGACACTGAACGCGGCCCTGTCTTTGATATATTATTAAAAGTAATACCAATGCTGCAGGTGCAAGAAGCCACGTCTACACTTTACACATGCGGCGTACATTCGGAAATTTTCGGTAGAATAATGTTTCCCCGAATCCAAGAAATAAACTTTCTGTTCAATATCTAGCATACATTTTTTGCAAAATATTACTGCCTAACACTTTCCGATTGCGCGGCGGACACCTTTATTCAATACCTGGCTTGAAAAGGATCTTTTAATAACTGAACTTTGATTTTGTTGTTGTATAACCGCGAGGGGCACGAACTTTTGTCAAGTTTTGTCAAGTTGCCAGTCAAGTGCATTTTCTCATCAACACATGCCCATTGATTCACGCAAAAGTTTCTCTGAAGTCACTGTGTTGCCAAAACGGGCCAACTGAAATCCATTCTGGAAGCTGAGTGGCTGGACTAACAACTAGAAAGTGCTGGGGGCTCGAGCGACGAAGTGAACATGCAGAAATCGACAATACAAAGCTTCGATCACCGATAATAGATTGCAATAGGCGTTGTAAAGATAGAGATATTAAAATCATATAAAGCAGAAAATTTCAAAATATCATCGGCAAAAAGTTTGGCCTTTATGTAAAAAACGATAAATGTGCAGCATATAGCGATTTCTCGCGAAAGACAAAAGGAAAACAAATAAAACATATGTAAATAAATTATCGTTTTCGAGAAAAGTTAGCAGCTTGAGATTGTTGAATAAATTTGTTTTGTAATAATTACTTGAACCAGTACTAATATATAAATTATTTGGCGTGACACAGTTACACGGTATCTCCGTTAGTAGACGTGTGCCCAGCCCAGCAATCTGCCAGAAATCAATAATGTTTACTTCTCTCACACAATTTCACTTGGGTGCCCTAAGTTGGAAGCGCCTT